TTATTTTCATCATATAATTAACTAGAAAAAAAAAGTAAAATATGATGAAAAATGAAAAAAAAAAAAACAGACGGCCATCATGCAGTCTTTAATGTAATTTACCCCGTCAAACCATATTTTTTTGAAAAGTAGATACCCTAGGTCATTTCACATGGTGACATTTTAACACTTTACATGCACTAATTCTACCACCAGTCTCTGTCAAATGTTTGGGTAGTCATTTTTTGTTATTTTTCCTGTTATGTGTTACTGCCAAAGGACACCGCAATATGTGTTCAGCAACATCTCCTGAGTACAGTGATACCACCCATGCATAGGTGTGTTGGGTTCTATGGGGCGGAGGGGTGCAAAACAAAACGTCTGATATGCGTTTTTCAAATTTTACATGTCTTGTTTGCCTATCTTCTTTTTGGGGGAATTATCAGATATCCCAATGTATTTTCTTGCCATGAGCGTGCATATATTTGAAAAGTTGACACCCCACGGTATTGTATATGGAGTGTTTTGATGCCTTAGATGCAATCATTTTAGTCAAAAAAATTGGAGAAAGTGTGTGGTGGTAACTGTTCAATCTTCATTTTAACACACACATTGCTTTTTGACTGTGATCTATGAGAGCCTGTTGTTGGTTATTGCAAGAAAACACCCCAGGTTGTTTTCTGCAAGGCCTCCTTAGTACACCCATGTCCCCAATCATAGGTTTGCCAGGATTTTGGGAAGGTACGGTTACAATTGTATGACTTGCAATTTGAGTTGAAATTGAGAGTATTTTTTCTGATATACCTATCTTTAGCTTGGGGCTTATCACATACCCCAGTTTTATATATTGCCATGAAAGTGTACATACCTGAAAAGTAGACACCCAGAGGTATTGTATATGGAGTGCTTTGATGCAACTTTTTTAGCCCCCCCCAAAAATTGAAGAATGTGTGTGGAGGTAACTGTTCAATTTTCATTTTTACACACACATTGCTTTTTGACTGTGATTTAGGAGAGCCTGTTGTTGGTTATTGCAAGAAAACACCCCAGGTTGGTTTCTGCAAGGCCTCCTTAGTACACCCATGCCCCCCATGAATAGGGTAAATGTAAAAAAAAAAACAAAAAAAAAAACTGAATGGCAAATGTAAAAAAAAATTACAAATGGACCAGTGTGTGGTATCGTTTGAAGCAGTCCCCAATGCAGAGTCCAGGCTGTCCAGGGCAATCAGGACAGTGACATACGGTATCTTTTCTCTGCCCCCTCTTAAAACAGACTCTGCATCTTTTGGGGGATTCTGCTTTGCCGCAGTAGGGAGAATTTAAAAATAAAATGTGTAGCCCCAACTCTGCTCTCTCCCATCACCGCCCGAGGAGCAGGTGTATCACGGTACAAAATCCCCCAAATCATCTGGAGCTAAAACTGGAAAAAACTCAATTGCGTCCCGGGGTTTGCTTTTTTGAACAACAAAAAAGCGTTGTTGGTTGCAATCTGCACTAGGTAGATTGCAACCTTTTGTTCCAGGCCCTTGACTTTCGTACAATTAGGTAGGGCTGCAGCAGCTGATCTGCAAGATCAAGCCGATCCATATGCCGGTTATAGATCTTGATGCACACTGGCTTCCTTGTGCTCTCAGCTCTGCCACGTACAGGGATCTCCACATTCCCTTCAGTGTGGATGGTGGTAAGAAGGAACACATCCTTCTTGTCTCTGTACTTAACTGCCAAGAGCTCCTCTTGGCACAGAGCTGAGGTCTCCTCCCTACGTAGCCTGGTAGGTGCAAGTTGTCCTGGGAAACCTGTGCTGTTCTTTTTGATTGTACTGCAAGCTACTGTATCAAAACAGTACAGTAGGGGGGCGTGGCCAACCGAGAGACTGTACTGATATCTCTATGCGAGGCTCCGTGCTCGGAAAGCAAAAAAGAGTACTTTGGCCGAAAAAATACAGACCTACCAGCTTCCACACTTCACCCCCCACCAGCAGACACAATGGGGCGAAAAAATAAGAAAGTTCAGGACCCGGAGACACCCCGCCTTCAAGACATAAGACTCTCCTTTGACAGGCCCGTGCCGCAGCTGCAAACAAAGATGGTGCCGGAGGCAAGTAAGGAACAGGAGACATCGGAGTACTCCCATGAGGTGGATAAAACCCCCACGCCACAGTCGGGCGGGGAGTCCGACGCACCCGAGTCAGATGAGGACTCAGCCCCCGCCACAAAAGGCTCCTAAAGAGGCTCCTGCTGGACCTCAGAAAGGTATGGAGGGAGGACTTACAGGAGGTCCAGACAGAGATGGAGGTGGTCCACAATAAAGTCCGGGCTATAGAGGCAAAAGAGCCAGCCAGATGCAGGAAACCAGGGCACAGATGGAGGGCCTGGCCTCACAAGTGCAGCAGTTACACCGCACAGTGACAACACTAGAAATGCGTCACTAAGGGAAGCAATAGGCACAGAGAACCTACTACAATATAAACAGACCCTCATAGACTCACTGGAAATCAAGAGGGGGGTCAACCACACCACTGATCACCTCGGTGTTCAGAGTCAGAAAATCCCCAGCGGCGCCAGCGGGAACCTCCAGAGACGTAATAGCGGTGACACGCTATATGACAGTCAAGAACGCGATCATGATGTTCTCCAGAACACAGGGAAACATAACCTTCGAAGGGAGTACAGTGGCAGTATATATCGACATTCCGTTCCCAGTGCTGTTAGAAAAACGCAAATTGGCACCTGTGGCAAAGAAACTACGAGACCGCTCAATAAAATACCGCTTGGGGGCGGAGGAATCCCTGGAGGTGACAGCTGGCGACAAGGCATACACACTGACGTCGGCAAATGACCCCGAGGAGCTGTACAAACTCCTTGAAGTGCATCCTCAGCCTCGGACAGAGACACCCTCCAAACAGCAACAAGAAGGCGGAAAAGAGACAGGCACATACAAGGTTCAGAGACTGGCCAGACCATCAGAGGGGGCTACATCCTGGTGCTGAGCCACAGACAACCTCCACACCACTGCTCCCGAGCAATGTCCCACCCAGCCCATATACCCAGAGATCAACACAAGAGGAAACCAGGCAAAGGCTGGACAGCCAAATGGGCCTCCGGAGTGGACTATCTGCGACCATCAGCCAAAGCAGAACATTACAGCACTGCCCCTTTCTAAATACCCCAAGATGGTGGTGGTTAGAGGCGTCAAAATTACCCACCATTGTATGTATATATATATATATATATATATATATATATATATATATAAAAAATGATACAGTTGTGTTTTACTCATGAGACCCATATATAAAACGGCAAAGTTGTGTCTCACTCATGAAAATTCAATAAAATACAAATTGAAAAAAAAACAGTACAGTAGCTTGAACAAAGGGACACTTGTATAAATATTGCCAGTATACAAGTGGTACCCTTTGTTCATCAGGGGGAATATCAGGTCCCAGACAATCTTGTCACTGGTTTCCATATGTTCTGGGCAACCTGGAGGGTCAAGGTGGCTATCCTTTCCCTCGTACACCCGGAAGGCCTGAGTATACCCAGTCTCGCAATCACAGAGCTTATACATCTTTACACCATACCTAGAGCGCATGGAAGGAATATACTGCTTGAATCCCAGCCTTCCCTTATACTTCATCAGGGATTCATCCACGCATATATTCCCTCCAGGTGTATAAGCCTCTGCAAACCTGGCAGCGAAGTGGGTAATCAGGGGGCGGATTTTATACAACCTGTCAAACTGGGGATGCTCCCTAGGGGGGGCACAGGCTGTTGTCGCTGAAGTGCATGAAATGCAGAATCATTTCATATCTCTTCCTCGACATACATTGGGAGTAAATGGGGGTAGAGAAGATAGGACTACTGCTCCATTAGGAGCGGATGGAGGGCTTCTTTATGATGCCCATCAGCATAGTCAATGCCCAGAATCTTTTAAATTCTGGCAGATCGATGGGGGCCCATTGATGCTTTGTCAAAAAAAAAGCAGCTCGGAACTGATCGGCATATACATTATCACCCAAAAACACCTCCATAAACTGCTGAGGACTAAATCCTGCGACATCCAAATTAATGCCAGGATTTGCAGTAAAGGGTGGGATGTCTGGCCTCTGGCGATGAGACACTACCCACTCCTCAGCAGTTCTGCCAGCTGAAGCAGCATGTCTCCTTCTGGCAGGGGGACTGGCAGGCACAGATACAACATAACTAGATACATCACTAGCAGCAGACACTGTATCTAGTGATAATGTATCTGAGCACCTGGCAGGGTCAAAATCAGGGTCGGAGTCTGACATAGACGCGTCAGACTCTAGCGCAAGGGTGGCATATGCCTGCTCAGCACTGGTTGACTTCTGTGACCGATGTGACATGATCACAATCACTTTACTTAGTGACCTGATCTGCCTGTTTGTCAGTCTCAGCCAATCCTATAGGGAAGCACTGTGATTGGATCAGGCTACCACATGTCAGCAGACTTCTTGTTTTTCTGAGTCTAACAGCATGCAGATTTACAGCTTCAGGCTTGAATACAGTAAGATTTTACTATATTTATGGAGGCATGAAGGGCCAGGGTGGCTAGATGGTGGTTTTAACACTATAGGGTCAGGAATACATGTTTGTGTTCCTGACCCTATAGTGATCCTTTAATGTTAGGGAGTCTAGGTCTGTAAGCCCTTTTTTAAACCCAGGTAAAAGCTCTTAGGGCCACTATCATAGAAATGCAGCCAGGACTCCTGAAGTCACCCACTCAAGTCGGGACATATGCAAGTTTTCAGTTGGTGAAACAGAAATATTCTTTAAGACGCACCCCCAAACAGGACAAACTTCCTCAGAGATGCAAACACACTGGCTTCGTTGCCAGCATGTCGGTGACGTCATCTACATAAATGTATAAACCATAGATTATGAAGCATTTAGGTGATACAGTGGTATTACAGAAATGTCCCCAAGACCCTATCACAACTGTAGCTAAGTTTCATGAAAAAAGTAAAGGGAAAAAATTAATCACAAGTCTTCTCATAGGTTTTTATTATAGTTGAATATCCACATCTAATGGCGACAAAGATAAGAGCAAAGCAGTATATGATACTTTAAAACATTCTATGGATTTCTCCACACTGATTCCTGTTGTATCCTGGTTAATAAGTTCTTTGTGCAGATGACCTTTATATTAACATAGGCAATAAAATATTGACGTTTTAGGTATTCTGCTGAATCCCAGACTTCCAGTTTCTCAGCATCTTTAATGTAGAACAGGCAAATAAAACACTTTAGAATTTTGTTGTGTTTTGTTTTTTTGGAATGTGCAGAAATACTTATAAAATTAGTGCTTCTAATTAATGCTTCAGTGATTCCAGTGATTGCTTAACACACAGCACGTAAAGATACATAACATGACATTTAAATAACAGATGTTTTTACCCAGGTGTAAGTTATGTAAGTCTCCAGACTGCAATTGAGTTTCCAAGAGTTGGTTGCTCCTTTTGTGCTTCTTCTTTTATCTGTAATGGCCCTGTCAAGCTCAACATGACAATAATTACAGGAAGGTACTATAAAGTGTTGTAGCACAGCTGAATGATTCCAATATTCACCTTGAACATTGCCTGATTTTAGTTTCACATGCTGAAGTGCATTATTAATGTTTTATAATGATTCTGTGTTTGACCAGGCTTGTTTCACATTGCTCTTGTATTGATATCCCTCAACTGGTTAGACTTTCCAATTATGAATTCCAGGTTCTCCAGACCACTTTCTTAAAGAAATCTTCTATTTTCTTTGACCATAATCTTCAAATACTTTAAGTCCCACGATAAAATTCAGTAATGCATTATATCTCATTCTTCTTATATTTCATCTTATGCTGTATTATAGTGTATTTAAAGGATGTCAACTATATTGCATCAGACCAGTCCCTGATAGGCTTGTTTTATAGAACCCAAATGCATCTCAAGCAGGTTAATAATACCTGCTTAGAAAAAAGTAGAAAAACATGAACTGATAAGAAGTGGTCTCAGACATGTAAACAAACATCATGTTAATCATCTTGACAAGCACATTTAAAAAAATGTAGACCATCACGGTACCATGAATAATGAGTAATTTTCTTCATGATGTGTTTGGAAAACTGGCCTTGATTTAATGTCTTTGGATATGCTTTTCAAATGATTTAATATTTATGAAAAAGCTTTTCAAATGATTTAATATTTTTGGATAAAGTTTTCATTTTTTTTTTTTCAAAATAGTCAAATATAAAAACATATCATATAGAAAAATATTTATGAAAATAAAATATTTTCAAAATTTTAAATAATTGTAAAAGTTTATCCAAAAATGTTAAATTATTTAAAAAGCTTATTAAGAAAAATGTATTGAAGGCCATGGTTAGAAGAAACAACTAGAGTCAATCTTTGTTATGTCATTGGAAAATGGATGCTGGGGAATGTTACTAAATTAGTATGCTATTATATATCACTATATTATATACTAGTTACACTATTAATAAATATATTCTAAAACTTCAACAGGGTCATATTTTTATACAGGCCCACCACTACACTAGAAGATACAAGTAAAATATTTCCCTTTTCTAATACTTCTCTGAAGGTGAATATCAAAATCATATGTATTTGATGACATATTCTGGGTAGACTTGATGTTTTTCCACACAGACACAGGAAGAGGAGCTCCCATTTTTTTTAAAATTCTCCACCAGGACACGTGCTAAAAACATAACATGACTCAAAAAGAATTCCTTCGGGCTGAAGATATGACAGTAGTATGCATCTTTTCCAAAAGAGATTCCTGAAGAACATAAAACACAAATATACTTTAAAAAATCTATAATGTTACTTATCTTCATTATAAAGATATATTTCCAAACAACATCCTTGTCCCTTCCATACATGCTATATTGTCCTTCTCTTACCTTTGACGTTCATATTTCCATTTAATTGATGATCAAAATTTTGCTGACATATAGTATCAATCAGGCTGTCACTGGTTGCATGAAATAACTGTATCTCATCCACCACTCGTCCATCTTTACACTTGTTCATCTCCTTTTTTTGCCTGTGGAAAACCACTAACAATGAAATACTCTAGCGCTGAGGATCTAGGTATAAATCAGATTTAGTTTTTTGTTATTTTTCTTAGTCATTCTAGAATTTTGCTTAGTTTGCACATATTTGCTGTTAGTATATTGAATCAGATGAGTCACTGATTCTTGGTTGCTCACATAAAAATGCTTGAGGACCTGAGATGCATTCAACAAATTATTTTTATGCAGTGCATTGCAAATTTTTGTTTATGTCTAAACATTTTTTGCAAATTATTAAAGGTTCATTCCACACCCATAAAGTTCTTCAGCTTGCATAAAGACTGGCTTGGAAGGTAGTGGTGTCCAATACTATGCCCAAGAAAATGAGCCTTGTAGAGGGACCGAGAGTTTTGCCTGATGACAGAGGGACCCCGAGTGTTGTGAAAAGGGCTGTGGTGGTGTGAATACTGTTAGGTGTTTGTGAACCTGGTTCAATCAACAAAAAATCATCCAGATAGTGGATGACTGATGGACACCTGATTATGTTTAGGAGCAGCCAGTAGAGGGTTTCTACGAAGATGTCAAATAACTTAGGGCTGCTTCTAGAGCCAAACGTGAGCAGAGTAGTGAAAAAATACTTATTCCTCCATTTAACACCGTGCAAGTGCCATAGTGAAGGGTGAATAGGTCGCAGTTTAAAGGCGTTGGATATGTCTGTCTTGCTCAACCAAGCTTTACTAGCTGCTGAAATGATAGCTTGCATGGCATCGTCGATTTTAGCGTAGTGCATTGAGAACTCCTCAGCGGGAATGAGGGAGTTGATGCTGGGAATGGAGGAAGAGTGTGGTGCAGAGAGGTCTATAATCAAACGTTTTTTGTTGGAGTATTTGTGAATGGCTATCCCGATGGGATTGGTACGCCAATATGAGAAAGGTGAAGACAGGAAAGGGCCGATCATGAAACCAACCTTGATTTCCGTGGACAGAAGGTGGTCCACCATAAGTGGGTCAATGGATGCAGATAATAGGTTAGGTACCTGTGGGGATGGCGATAAGGCCTGTGTGAAACCCGTCACCAGAAAATCTATCAGATGCCTAGCTGGGTGTGAATGCAGATAGTATGTCAGTTAGGCATTTCTTAGGTGACAGTTGGGCTGGACATGTGGACTTGGTGTGGGCTCTGAAGCAGATTTGCAATGCCCTGCATGCAGTGAAATTGCATATCCCCGCATTAAAGTCATTGCACACCCGAGCCTTGCCCAGAAATGAAATGGGTCTGCCCAGCATGTCCCTCTGCCCGCCTCTCTGTCTAGTGTGTGGGGTGAAGGAGTGGTGAGAAGTGGAAGTGTCTGTCTCACAAGGGCACAAGTCGGAGAAGTGAGAAGAGGAACTACAGGAGGCACAGGACGGGGCCTCAAACCAGCAAAGTGACGGCTAAACAATTCTGGGTCCATCTGGCACCAGGCGATTCTTATGTTGAACTGTGCCAGATGAGTAGCAGTCTTGGCTGAAACTGATTTATGAAAATCATAAAATGAGGACCCTGCGTACTTGATACCCAAGTCAACCACCTTGTGTAAGTATGAATCAAGCTCTTCCCTCTTATGTGGGTACACCGTGCAGATAATGTCCCGATAAATGCCAAGGCAATGACAAACTTAGGAATGGAAAGCTTTTTGTTAAGTCGTGGGTCTCTCTCTTTTAGGACTACTGAAATGTCACCATGAATATAACCTTTGTTCTCTAGGATGTCTTGGGAAGTTATGAGTAGTGACATTAGATTAATGTCCTTTCCATCGAGAATTTCCTTCTTTATGGAATCTGGAACAGAGTGGGCCGGTGAGACGTATTGAGTAGTGATAGTGGGTGGTGGTGGAGGGGAAATGAGGGGTAAGCCAATCTGTATGACCGAGACCGCCAGAGGAGGGCCTGCTGGGGCCTAACGAGACACCTGGTGTGGCTATAGCCAATTCCACTTTCACCAGCCTCTTGTTAATCGTTTGGAGGCTGGCCATAATAGGTGTAAGCTGGGGGCCCTTGTGAACTAGAGCCGGGCCTAGAGACGTTGGCCTGTGCCGTCATGAGCCTGTATAATTCTGCCTTTCTGGCAGTGGCTGGAAAGGGGATACCCCTGAGTCTGAGCTCTGCTAAAATTTTAGGAATGGTCCAGGATCTGGGGGTAGAAGGGGTGAGGGATTCCTCCGGAGACCTAGGCCTGCTGGCGTGCTGGGCATTTTTGTCCAACAGCAGACCGATGATTGGGATGGATTCTTGTGACATTCTGAAAAAGGAATAATGATTTGGATAAGTAAGGTGTCATAGAGGTGGGGATGAGACCTTCAGAGAACTGGCCTGCTAGCTAGTGCCGAGGCGAAGAATTTAACTAGAACAAAGTGACAGGTGAGGCCCTGTTAGTGCCAAGTGGCGAAGAGAGGCTCTACCTATGATTTGGGCCGAGGGAATTTTGTGGCCACTTGAACGTGGTGGCAGGATGTTGGCCTCACGGTGACCGTAAGAGATTCAAAACATGTGGCCGTGACTTGGGAAGCCCTATCTGTAGCCCTAAAGAAGGGCGAGTGAGGTGGCTAACTATGATTTGGTCGTGGGGCTGAACCTCCATGTATGAGATAGGGTGTAGACCTTGCGGGACCGTAGTATTTACTTAGAGTAGCTAAGGCCAGCCCCTAACCCTCAATGCCATTTCTCTAACCTGATGGGGCTTGTCTCTTAGAATGGTGTAATTGAACGTAGATACTAACCTTGAGTATTTGTCCTATTTCTTTGGACAATGCACAGGAAGACTTCAATATATTCTTGCTTCTGCAGGGAACGGGTCCGGTGAAGATATCCTAATATAGATGCTAGTGGGCCTGAGGCGTGCCACTGGTATGCAAAGTGTAAAAATGTCAAACGTATGGGTATAGTGTAATAATGAAACTGTAACGTAAGAACCTGTGTACGATGAGGGACCTGAACGTTGGTCCGTAAGTAGAGACAAGCCCCCTGGGTTCCCCCAATTGTGAAATTTAAATGATACGAAGGCGAAGTGAGGCCTTAAGGAGAAACATAATCATAGTCAGGGCCGGATTAACATAGGGGCTGATGGAGCTGCAGCTCCAGGCCCAGGCCCATTGAATAGGCCCATTGATTTTAAAAAAACAAAAAAAATTTTTTTTTTTTTAAATTTTTTTTTTTTTCCACACACTACTCTTAGGGATTCCACCTGGCTTTTATTTTATTAGCACAGCCAGTATTTGAGGCTGTCTGGCTGGTGCCAATATTGCAGTGATACTGGCAATACAAATGCTGGTATTTTTCTCAGTATAAATGGAGATTACAATGCAATACCAGCACTGGCCAGTAGGGGTCGCTGTGTGTGGAGAGAGGCAGGGATAGGAAGTTCCAGCATATCCCTCCCTGCCTATCTATACTCACTGATCTGCAGGGGTGCAGCTACAGAGAGTCCAGACAGCAACTCCCACCCTGCAGAGACAGCCTACAGTTCAGGGAAGTAAGGGATGCGGGAAAGGCTGCAAGGAGACATACACTGGGACACTAAGGGACATTGGGAGACATTATGGCAGACACTGAGACACTAAGGGACACTGGGAGACATTATGACATAGACACATGGGGACACAGTGTCCCCATGTCTCCCAGCCAGTGCCCCCTAGTCTCCCAGTGACCCCTAGTCTCCCAGTGTCCCCAGTCTGCCAGTGTCTCACCGTCCCCATGCCTCCTAGTGCCTCCATGTCTCTCAGTGCCTCAAGTGTCACAGTGTCCCCATGTCTCCAAGCTAGTGTCCCTAGTGTCTGTGGCCCTGATGTCTCAGTGTCCCCATGTCTCCCAGTCCCCCCATGTCTCAATGTCCCCATGTCCCCCAGCCAGTGTCTCTAGTGTCTGTGTCCGTGGTGTCTGTGTCCCCATGTCTTCAAGTGTCCCCTATTTTCCCATTGTCCCCATGTGTCCCAGCCAGAGTCCCCTAGTCTCCCAGTGTCACTGGTGTCTCCGTGTCCCTAGGTCTCCCTGTGTCCCCAGGTCTCCCCGTCTTCCTAGTGTCCTAGTGACATGGGGACCCTGGGATACATGGGGACTCAGGGAGACATGGGGCATTCAGACACTGTGATACATAGGATCACTGGGAGACCTGGGGACATGACACTAGGGGACACTGGGAGACATGGGGCACTGAGACACTGATACATAGGA